CCACCTGGGGTATTCCCTATTTTATGTCTCCATAGTTAATGCATATTAACCTACTCCTAACTGACTGAAAATCGTAGATACTAGAATGTATATGTATTTCATAAGGGTTTGTCTTAACTGAAAGCAGGACGTAAGCACTGTCATTATTTATCCTTTAATATTGTGTGCATAATTCTATTTCCGTTTACTGTTCCACCTTTTGTAGTTAATCATGTGCTGCAGAAGTGTAAACGATGGACATGGTCTCGCCACTCGTACGCATTTCCAAGCACGTCAGCAATTGTGCCGCGAAATCAATGTGACTTATACGTAACCAATAGGAGGCTTATGAATGCTGGCCTGACGAGAATTTGGGACAAATATGGACGGATGTTTGCCGCAGAGTACGCTGGAGAAGTAGTCGCTCAAATGAACAATGTTCTTGATGTGTAAATTAACTACTTTCGTATTACAACAAGAATAAACTTTTCGTATTAACATTGTTGTCTTTCTGTTCGTGTGTTCGCGTTGGGAGTACGGCATGCTAGACCGGTGCTCCCTAGGATATGAATTCCTTACTATACGTGAATGCTATTCTGTAGGAACACTTTCCATCGATGTAAGTGGTGAATTATAAGTACTTCAGTCACGTCGAAAAAATCTGCGATTACGTCTCCTAGTCATAGATAAATCTGTAGGGACTAATGACAAAAATACCTAACTTCAGTGTTTGACAAATAAGAATAGAACTTAGGGCCCTGCAGTTGACTTCGATTTCGTATGAAGTTAAGTGTAATCAAAAGTACTGTATTACTACTATTTCACTTAAAGCAAGATGTCAATCCATATGTCTACGGGTGTTAACATGCAGTGTAAACTGAAGTCTACATGAGAGGAATAATTTAATAGGTTGGGCTGTAGCAATGTTGGTACGATTTCGCCTACGTTGAATTATGCCTACAATTACTTTCTCAGGTCTCATTGTTACGTCAGGCCTCCATCTCGTCATAATGACAAATTTAGTTTCAATGAGATAGAATAAGAAAAGTATGGTAAGCAGGATGTTAAATATATTTCATGAAAAATAATAGGCGAATGTCTTCACACAACTGTTTTTCGTAATTACTGCAGGGATGCGTAATTGCTGTGACCAGGTTGACTGACTTCACCGAACATCTACAAGCAAGTGAATAAAGTATAATTTTGAAATCGTTTAAGTTAGAAATAAGTAATGTAAAAGTGAAACGCTTTATATTCTCCTAGCTTTGCTGAAAAAGGGTCATTCTCCTTTCTCATTCTTTGGCCATGACAGCATTCTTCTGCGGTTTTCACTGTGACATACATTGTTCCTCTTCTAAAGTGTAGCACCAAGGAAATAATAACTTAATATGCTGTATAAATGGGTGTTTACAAGGAATGCATGACACCTCTACAGGCACAATAAGTTAGGTTATAAATTACAATCGTGAAGTATCGTAAATTAAAACTTTTTCGAAATTTTCGATTGTTCAATTATTGTACAAACAATTACAACGGATTATCATAAAAGTTAAACTCCGGACCCTTCACAATGAACACTGCATATATATCGGTAAGTGCTATTCCCTCACACAATTAAAAGGTATTCCAGGAGGAGAACAGCATCCTGAGAAACTGCAGTAGTGTTTTCTAGCTATTCGGAACTTATTCCTTTGATGCACTTTCTTATCAACAGTTTGCAGTATTCATAGCGTCGGTGGCACAGTGGTTAGGACTCTCGCCGACCATGCACATGGTCCGGGGTTCGATCCCCTGCCGGCGCACACCCGATATCTATGGTCGGCCTGAATTTGGGCTACCGATATCCATGCTGAAAATTCCACACTTGTACTGAAAATACAGTGTGGAATCAAGCTGTAAATCAAAAATAAAAAAAATTTAGAGATAACTTTATTATATCTTCACTTTCACCAACTGTCCCTTCAAGTACAATAGCATGCAGTAACTACATACACTCAAGCATTGTAATCTGAACATCACAAAATCCCTTCAGATAACTTGTTTCATAATAAATGCTTTAGAAACATGAGCCATAAGTACACCTTCCATGTCATTCATAGTCACAAGTAATTCATTAAGCATCTCAGAATATGTTAGTGATGTGGACATGAAAAATTATTAAGACTGATATAACTTAAGTAACACGTCTAGTAGTTGTAGGACATACCTGTGAGCTACTATTCTACAGAAAGGTGATTCTCATTTGAAGCAGTCTGACATTGTAGAAGCACCATCTATACTATTCTTCTGGCACAAATGCACAATGATATCGAGATAATCTGATGCAATGTAATGCACTCAGCAATTACGGTCTCCCGAAATTCTATATTAAAATGTAAATTTAACTAGTATCACATCTTCAACTGAGCCATTTTAACTAGGAACTTCACAGAAATGGATAAAATCAACAGGAAATTCAGCAAATCGCCTCATTCATCGCATACTCTCTTCGATGTGTAATGGAATATTTCAATCATCACGGTTGATGATAAAAAAGTGTTTGGCATCCTCAAAACGTACATTTAACTTGTGAACGTAGGCTAGTTCTCCTTCATATGTCTCGTTATCATAGAATAACTGCTATGGAAACAAACATTGCCTATAGTTAGTTTTCAGCCTTGATATCCTCAAAAAACTAGCAAATAACAAACCATTACGGCTCTAAAACGCGAAGAATAGTCTTTCTAGGCTAAATTTCTTATATACGATGAGTTATTGAAGTAATACATACTCTGGGATATCATGACAGGTTCTTCCATTAATACGAACACAATACTGGAAAATGTTGCTTTTTCGGTTATAGAAGCCTGAAACCAGTTATATGTTATCTACTTTCACAAAAATAAACGCTTATAACGGCTCTATAGGCGTGAACACGATAACCCATACATTCCGCGATAATATATCACTATAACGTTTATCACCACCCATATATTTTCATCGGAAACGTCATGGTTTCCATGATAACACCAATATGATTAGCACTAAACATTGCAAACGTATACTACCATTCCAATTAACCTATAGCCACTTGCCGTATATATCTTGTAGGTGTACTTTTAATGATGTATTATCCATAATTGTACTTTATGCCATTTTGCAGTTTCTCTGGACGTCGTTCTCCTCCTGAAATAGATTTTAATCACGTGGTGGCATAGCACTTATCCAAATATTCGGTGTCCATTGTGAGGGGTTTACAATTTAACATTCATGATAATAATATGTATATTTCCTATCAATGTAGGACACACCAGTTGTACAGGCATGGATAAGTATTATTTAAATTACATGAATTTGATTTATAGTGAAATTACATGGTTGTGTGGTGAGAGCAAGCTGCTAGCCGAT